CAGGTTGCTGATCTCACCAAAAACCCCTAATTTTTCCCAGTGCTGGCTGCCTGCCTGGCTCTTTGAACCTGTGATCTTTCTTATCTGTAGTTTAACTCTTTCTGATGTATTTAGGACTGTATGGTGAGACCTAGCACATAGAAAGCATGTTTTCCGTGTGCCATGGGCTGATCTGTGCCTTGGGGTGTGCTGCATTTGGGCTTGGCCCAGCATCCACAGTTACACCCTCTGTGGAGCTTCACCCGCAAAATCAGCAGAGGGAGAGCACTTGTGGCACTGCAGAGTTTGGGGGAGGGACACCGAGGGGTGCACTGGTCCCCAGCAGGATGCCCTGGTGGGATGAGTGTCCTGGCAGGATGGGTGTCTTAGAGGGATGGATGTCTAGGTGAGGTGGATGTTCTGGTGGGATGGGAATCATGGTGGGATGGATAACCTGGCATGATGGGTGTCCTGGTGTGGAGATTAACATCATGGACCCAGAGCATCTTCATGCAGTGAATCGCCTTATTGCCTACTGCTCTAACTTTTATACCATTCTAACAACAGTTATTTTTAGCCCATTGCTCTAGCTTTTATACCATTCTATTTGTAGCCCATCGTGTTTAGTTCCTGACTTATAGTTTGTTTTTTAACACTGCTCGCCACCTCACAGTAAGTCCCAGAATAGCCAGTCTCTTATCTTTATGCTCTCTCCTCCTCAGCCAGCTGGGTTGTCCTGCTTGATTGTACTTTGTTTCTTCTTTAACTCTTTCTTCTCCAGCCAAGCAGTTACTTCTCTTTGGCAATAATCAAATAGTTTCCATTGCCTCCCACATCCTGGTAGGATGGATAACCTGGTAAGATGGATAACTTAGTGGGACAGATAACATGGTGGGATGGATGCCCTGGTGGAATGGGTGCCCTGGTGGAATAGGCGTCCTGGTGGAATAGATGTCCTGGTGGGTTGGGTGTCTAGGTGGGATGGGTGCCCTCGTGGGATGGATAACCTGGTGGAATGGATAACCTGGTAGGATGCGTGTCCTGGTGGAATAGATGTCCTAGTGGGATGGGCGTCCTGGCAAGAAGGGTATCCTGGTGGGGTGTCTGTGCCACCCCAGCTCTCCCTGAGCCTGTCTGTGCTCCAGGGGCAGTTTTCCAGTGGGAGGAGAGTCCTGAGCTGCAAGGACACCGGCGCTGGTGCCCCGGGGACGGGACACACGGGATCATTCAGACTGGGACAACCGGGAACACTGGGACAGCGGGTACATTGGGTCAGCGAGGGACGCTGGGACAGCCGGATACACCGGAACAGCGGGCACACTGGGACAGGCAGGTGGCAGCAGATCCTTCGGGAAGCTCTGGGGTGCACCGAGCCGGCGGCTGCAGGCCCAGGGAGCCCGATCCTGCAGGCGGGGGGGAGGTCCCCTCTGCGCTGGGTGCCGCCCCCTCTGCGCTGAATGCTGTCCCCTCTGCGCTGGGTGCATCCCCTCTGCACTGGATGCTGTCCCCTCTGCCCTGGGTGTGGGTGCTGTCCCCTCTGCACTGGGTTCATCCCCTCTGCACTGGATGCTGTCCCCTCTGCACTGGGTGCATCCCCTCTGCACTGGCTGCTGTCCCCTCTGCACATGGTATATTTCCCCTCTGCACTCCGTGCCTGTTTCCTCTGCACTGGGTGCACTGGGTGCTTGTCCCCTGAGTACATGGTGTTATCTCCCTGCTGCACACGGTGCGTATCCCCGCTGCACGGGTGTTATTTACAGTGTGCACAGGGTACATGTCCTCTGCACACAGTGCGTTTCCCGTCTGTACAGGGTGCCTGTCCTCTCACATGACAGCACCACACAGCGCGATGGGGACAGGTCAGCCTGTCTCATGGACAGGCAGAGTGGTGCTGAGCACAGTCCCCGGGGAGCTGCACCCACCCGTGGGCGCACCCAGGACATCTCCACCCTGGCTCCTCGGGCTGCCCAGGAGAGACACACGGTCCCTCAAACCAACTCTGCAGACAGAGCTGTGCTTTTTCTTTAAGGGGCTTTATGCACATCAGCCTCTTCTTGCACCGTGTTTATTCCCATCACCCTTTTGCTATTCCGTGCTGGGTATGAAGGCTGAGAGCAGCTCCTGCTTCATTAAAAAGTAGGGTTTTTTCATAGGAAATACTCCATAAAGCCCCCATTCACCTTGTGGGAGCATCTACAGCAGAGCTACTTCCCAGGCCAGCACCTTCCATGGGTGCCTGCACCCATCCCACTGGTCTTGGGGTGGATGTCCCTTGGCTTTCATCCCCCCAAATCCTACATGGGAAAGGGGGCTGAGGGTCCACGCTCTCAGGCACTGCTGCTGCCAGACAGGTTGCAGGCAGAGCCAGGAGCTGGCAGCACAGGCTGTGGGGTGCGTGCCCACCTTCCACCCTGGCACACTGCTGGGAATGGGGAGCAGTTGATTCCCGGGGCGCTTCCTGAGAGGGGAAACCCCATTCAAGCCCCAGCTTTGCTGCTGGTGCAGGATGTGAGCACAGCCCCTCTGCTGCAGTTGCCAGGGTCCTGCTGCACCAGGGCCATGTCAGCCACCCATCAGGCTAGTTTTCCAGCAAAGCATCTTCCCATGACATTTATTGTGGTTTATATGCGTCTAGGGCAAGGCAGGCCCTTAAATTCTGTCTCCAGCCCTAAGCCTCTGTTGGAACAGCCTCTTGGAGGCTGCTTAGGCAAAAGACACTCATGCTGTAAGGCAACGCATTTAAAAAGCAAATGGGTGCTGAGCTAGGTGTTGCTTTTCTCACCAGCAAGGCTGGGTGCTGGGCAGGCTGGGCACCCAACACACAGCCATACGCTGAAGCTGGGCAAACCTTTGAGGAAGGGGTGAGGAGCTCTTCAGGGGGTGCCTGGAGCACCCCTGGGTGCTGGTATTGCCATGGTCCCACTTAGACAACCCACCTTGTGTCACCCAGCCTGGCAGAAAGGACTACCCAAGGGCTTCCATTTCAGGGCTTCTGCAGTATTTTGCTTTTTAAACTTGTCCTGTCCTTGCTGCCTGTCCACCAAGGGCTAGCAGGGACACCCATGCTCCCTGTGTGGAGGGGCAGGGAAGGAGTGACAGCAGTGGGATGCCAGCCCTTGAACCAGGGCTGGGAACCTGCCTTGGTGGCAGGACACACCCAGGGGGCAAGTACAGGCAGGCAGATGCTCCTGTGCATAAAAAGCCATAAAAAGCAACTCTCACTTGGCAGAGAGTTTCGGAAGAAAAACACGTCCCACACACCTTCCCATCGCCCCACCACGCTCCCAGCACCCATCATCCTGCAACCACCCACCATCAGGGCATCTGAGCACTGCATTTAACCCGCACAGGGCTTATTCACACCTATGATTGTCTGCTCTCCTGGGCCTGGAGGTCACTGCACCTCCAAGCAAAGTGCTCCCCAAAACTGGGCTTTAAAAAAGTGCTTGGAGAGCATGCCTGAGGCAGGAGGAGTTAGGCACCATAGCTGGAGGTACCTGGCACAGAGAAGCTGCAGGGAAAGCATCCCTTCGGTGATGGAGCTGAGCTGCAAATGGATTGTGGCTTGCTAAGCATGAAATCTTGGGGTGGGTTTGTCCCCACTGGGGCTGACCCTAGTGCCTTGCCGCAGCAGCTCAGGATGGACAAGCTGTCAGCCCACACCACCCTCTCAGCCACACGCTTGTTCCCACAAGCTCTTTCACCCACAGGAAGCCCCACGGTGGTGCAGAGATATGTACCACAAAGTCAGAGGAAAGCAGGAGGATGGAGCCCTCCTAAGCCTGTCTCCCTTACCCTCAAGCTGGGGAACAGCACTTTCAAGATGCCCAAAGCCACCCCAACATGCAGCATTAGATCCATTCTGAAGCCTGGGAAGCTGCTTTTCTCTCCCAGAGAGCTTCCCTGGCCTCCACTCAGGGAAGGCCACTGGGATGCTTGCAAGCAGCCCACTACCACCCCAAGATGACAATTCCCACACAGGAGTCACGAGTAGCAACAGGGCTCAGCCTCCAGCCCAGCAGCAGCACTCACACCTCCAGCCAAACACCTTTATTCCTTTATTTCCATCCAGTTACACACTACTGGTACAGAAAATACAAAACATGGAAAATAAGCTCTTTTGTGCGCCCCCCCCCCCATCCCCGAAGTGTGCTGGCTATTTACAGGCACAGGCGAGTGGCTCAGTGGCAGCAGCTGCACTTGCTGCTGGCCGGCTCCTTGCACACACAGCCCTTGGCACAGTTGCTGCAGCTTGCGGGGCAGCAGGAGCAGCAGCCTGAGGGAGAGACATGACAGTTAGAGGGGGGCCTGGAAAGGAACTGAGGTTCCATGGGGCAGAGGCACATGATGGAAAAGGGAAAACACACCCCCTACACGCATTATGCCAATGGCACAGTGGGTGGGGTCCTAACAGGGAAAGGGCATCCCCCAAAGGGCACCAGGGGGCGGGTCTCAGGAAGAGGGAAGGATCCTCGGTCCAATAGGACAGGGTAACCCCATGGGAGAGCGGTGGGGTCTCCATATGGAGTCCTACAGTGCAAAGCGGGGATTCTCTACGGGGCAAGAACCCCTTGGATTCACAGGCACTCTGGGAGGTGCCCTTGGAAGGGTCCATGGGGGCCCAGCAGGGCACGGGCAGACCCCTAAGGAGAAGCGTTGTGTGTCCCCCCATTTCCCCCGGCTGAGCCCCACACTCGCTCTTGCGGCAGCTGCGGCAGCGGCAGTTCTTGCACTTGCAGGACCCGGCGCAGGAGCAGGAGTCACCTGGGGCGGGAAAGCGACCGTCAGCTTGGACGGGACCTGGACACTTACCGGCGGCACACGGGACCGGGACACTCACCGGCGGCACACGTGCAGTCCTGGGGATCCATGGCTTGGTTTGATCGGCTTGGCTCACTTCAGCTCAGCTCGACTCGCAGCAGTACAGAGCCCCACCGGCGTCCGGTAT